GCAGACTAATCAATAGGGAATGTATTTTATTTTTTTTTTTGAAGGGAAGGGGTCAAGGCAACTGGAACTGTTACTTGTAGAGGCAGCAAATGGAGTAACCCCTGCTATTCAGGGCCTGAATATATGTTCAGGGGTAATTACCCCTAGAATTCTAGGGAGGGGTATTTACCCCAGGATTCTAGGGGGGGTATTTACCCCCAGGATTCTAGGGGGGGGGGTAAATAACCCCAATAACCCCCCTTATATCCGCCACTGGTCTCATCCTTTGTGATTTTTAATACTTTTTAAAAAAAGTTAGACACATTTTCTTGGTGGTGTTTACAACACAAGTGGATTTTACTTGCGCGCAATTGCTAACCCCTTGCGCGTAAGTAAATTTAATTGCGCCCAATTCATTAATAATTGCGCGCAAAGACTTTTCTTATTGTAAAGACGAGGCGTTGGAAATTTATAATTGGTTATTTTGGTTGCTTGAGACTCGATCGACATTAAAACAGGGAATAGGAATAAAGGGAAAGGAAATGGCGCTGCAGTCTGGCATGAGAAAGCCAGTCGCACTGCTTTGCAGACAAGTTCGGTATTCCTTACACAAACTCTTTTCGTAAAGACACACAACATAACTACAGTCAAGGAAATTTTATTTTATAGCACAGGTATTTTACCTTTACCTGAGCTGATCTTACAGCAAAAACTTCAATTTATGCATTTATTCAATCATTCTCTATTGCCTAGTTCTTTTGATGAATTATTTATAAGAAATGCTTCACTTTTTGGAAACCTTTATTTTATGAGAAATTTAAATGACTTTTATGTGCCGGGAGTAAGAACAGAATTTCTTAGACGATTTCCTTTTTACTCATTTTCCACTGCATGGAATTTTCTTTCGTCTGAATTTAAAGAAATCGCTCAAAAATCCATTTTTAAACAATCGTTAAAAGCCAAACTTCTCGATAATCTTAAAGATTTTCAATGTGAAAAACTATTTTGTAATTCTTGCTCCTCCCTTTAACTCTCATTTATTTTTATGTGTTCCACCCCGAGAATGAATGATTCCTGTACGTTTATGAACTGTATCCACTCCAGTGGCTCCAGCTCCCTCCATCCCATGAGCGGCATGACATCCAGCAGCACCTCTTCAAGTCAGCATCATTGCAAAAACTGACTCTCCAGTGGGAGGCTGCGTGTTAAACCGCCCCTGGCTATCAATGCCTCCCCGTCTTAAGTTTCATAAATATGTTTTAAAATATGATATTTTCTATGTTTTTGCCTTGGGACAAATATATATATTTGATTTGATTTGATTTGAAATTGTAGAACAATGCTGACAATTATAGTAAAACTTGAATAACGAGTAATTTATTGTAAACTTTAATCAAATTATATTCTTTGCATGAAAATTTGGATTTCAGTGTTGACTTAAAATGAAAATAATATATTACTTGTTTTTAAGTTAACAATTAATGATGAAGAAATGTGCTCTCCTAGACTGTACAAATACCGAGATTCTGAGATTCTTATGTACTGTACATACCTACAGTACACGCCTTCGGTTCGGTATTCCTAACACACACTCTTTTGGTACAGACACACATACATGACGTTACCGCCCCCCGCATTAAAACTTTAGATATTTAACATAATTATGAATGTGCTAAAAGTTAACTAAAATTAATGATATTATGTATTTAATCATTTGTTGGATAGGAGGATCGTCTGGTGAATTAAAGCTGAATTTGTAATAAATTAATTTGTGAATAATTCTGATAAATTCCGATTCGTTGGTTTTACTGCCAAGCAAAGTAACATGTATGATACCCAACTGCCAAGCTAACCAAGAATAGGAGAGTCTGCGTTTACAATACCAGCAGATCCCAAAAAAAGTAGTTTGGATGAAGGCTCTTTAATCGGATCATATGAATTCCTTACACTGAAAGATCTCAGTGTGTAAAAGCTATTACATTGTTAAATACATATTATGACGTTATTTTTCAATAATTCATTTAAATCAGGTAGAGAGAGAATTCAATCTTGAATGAAAAAGTAATGAGATAATTGATAACTGTTAAAAAGTACAAGGTTACTTGCATAAAAGATATAAGACATTAATTTTCTTCTTATAAGCACTTCATATACTTCAAACCAAAAGTAAATGTTCTAAAGGACTGAGAGATGTAATTTCAAGTAACCAACCCATTACAGGTCCTTTCAACAACGGTACCATTTAAACATTTATCTAGGAAGATATCGTCGTTATTTCATCTTAAAAAGTGATGAATTCTGTAAATTATGTTCACGTCATCAGGGTAAATATAATTCACTGGGTTTCTGGAGAAGACGACATTAGTTGCTACCTTTGTCTACTCGAGAAAATGCGTCAAATTTGCGTAGATTTTCTGATGCGCTATCTTTAATTAGCAAAGTCTTTGATAGCGCGCAATAAACGCAACAAAGTTTCCCGCAATTGTGCGTTATACCGCGCAACTTTCTTGCGTTTGTGTTTTTAAATTTTGATAATATGGCACGCAATAAATGCAATTAATTATTACGCAATTCCGTTCAACAACAAAAAATTTAATGTAAACATTGTTAGTGGTCAGTGGCATACAAATTACAATAAACTGAACTTCACTAACATTTCAATCTAAAATACTAAGAAAATTGAATTTAAATTTAATCTTTTGTTTTTTAATATTCTTATGCAGCATGCTAGTGATAACAAGAAAACTGTGGCATTGAAAGACGACATTGTAGACTCAAGCAGACCCATGTAACTGAATAAGTGATTTGATAAGAATTACTAATTATACCAATAATATAACAAATACACGTTTTCCTTCATCTTTCCTCTCTCCCCTTTCACATCCACCTTTACCTTTTCCTCCCAATTTCCTTTTTCTCTCCCCTTCTGTCCCTTTCCCTATCAATTTACCCTTTCTTTTCCCCTATTCCCTTTTCCTTCCTCTTTCCCCTTAATCATCCCATTCACATCCCCTTTCCTTCCAACATCCCCTTTCCCATCCTCATCCTCTATAACACACCCTTTCACCATTCCCTTTCCTTCCCTTTTCCTTCCCCTTCCCCCTTCTCGTACACACATGGAAACTTGCATAGACTTCACTTATCAAGGGGGCACGGAGCCCCTTTAGCCCCTCCCCCTGTAAATAATTGCCTCTCTAAATTATGCATTAAAACTTAATTTTCTATTATCAAAAAATATTCTTTTAATTTAAAACAGACAATAATAGGAAATAAAGATTATTCTATAAGTAGTGTCAATGAAATTAAGACTTGAGATCCTTGAGATCCTTGAGATCTTTGAGATCCTTGAGATCCTTGAGATCCTTGAGATCCTTGAGATCCTTGAGATCCACCCTTTTTACGGGAAAACAAAATTTGAAGAAAAAGATGATTAAAAAAATAATGAAAGTGTTTCTATAAATTGATTATTATATTTATTAAGTCCATAAGTCGAGAAAATTCGATGATAATTGCTTTTTGCTTTTCCTACTTTTAAATAATTTACAACGTTGCATTACAGTTTTTTTTTGTAAACTGAATTTTCTCATATTCCACATTTCTAAAAGGTAAAGGCTTTAAAAAACCTTAATTATGTTTTAATTTAAAAATTGTTTGAAATTTGGAAGGTCATAAAGAACGTAATTTTAGACGTTGCATAAACTTTACTAAAAAGAATAAATTTTTGTATTAACTTTGGAACGATAGAAGACAATTTTCCTCAGCTATAAAATATTATCAGAAGAATGTTAAATTAAATAATTGCCATAGTCCACACTCTCCTTGAACCAAGCATTTTAACTCCATAATCCCGCTGCGACAAGCAACAATCGAGTATATAATTACATAATATCTACAGAATCTACATCAACAGTCTGTTTAACAAGAAGTTGTCGACATTCTTATTAACAGGAAAAGGTAGGCGGTCATACGCCTAAAAATTTTCCCCTTCCATGCCACATATTAGCGTTTTTTGTGTTCCGGCAGCCATAAGCCATGCAACCGTTCAGTCTTCCATGCAACAACATTAGTGACTTTCGGCAATTATTACGTTTTCAAATGATAAATTTCAATGATGCTGAATGTTTGTTCCAATAATTTGTTCTGCATTTTCGTGATAGCTCTATTTTTATATAAAGATTTGAGAGAAATTTCGAAAGAGAATAGAATACAAGTTTTACAATCGATCTCCGATCACGGATTTTTTAATGGAACAAACCATATCTTTGATTTACGTGTTTTTTCAGCTGCAAAAACAGATTTCTTTGATTACTCTTAAATTACAAATATTTGTAATACCTTGGTTTTAACATTAAGAGTCTAAAGCTTTTTTTCGTCAATCACATGTTCCATAAAACAGGCTCTTTGTATTGCTACTAAAAACAGGTTTGGGGCTGCAGAATCATGATACAACTGTCTATTGTAAACAACTTAGGAAAACTTCATTTTTAGAGTTTTACATCTCATTTTTTTATTAAAAACTTCAAAATTTTTACGTTGAATTGAAACTGTTCGTTATTTCTTACATTTTCATCAGCAGTCGTCCCTCAAGCTTATATGGTAGAATTGTTGAAACGGTTTTGGGGGTTGTTTTACTTGACTCTTTTACGTTACGATGAGTTAAACTCAGCACACATAACTTTAAAATTATGCATATAATTTTAATCAGTGATATTAAATGTAAGAAGAATTAATTTAATTTTCAGTTTCAACGTTTTAATTGCACCTTTTTTACCGTCATAGTTTATAAATGTCAGAACTAGAGGTATTATCATACTTTTAATAATAGTTATTTCAATTATAAAAGATGAGCTTCAAGTTGATTTCCTGTCATTTTACAGGGTGCAAATCACCTAAAAAGACGCAATTCTGCAATTAAAACGTTTCTTAAACTACGGTTTACATATTAAATTTCTAAAATACTGCTCTGAATATTAAATTAATTAGTCTACATTAGAGCTAAAACGGAAGTTCAATCCATACCTGAACGCTATGCTAGAACGTTCATGAATGTAAAAAATTTAACTGACAGTCATTTTTGAGTTGGAATAAAAATATTGTAAAAAATTTTTTCTTGAAAAATAGTTTATTAGCTAAAATTGATTAATTGACTTGGCAATTACAAAATTAAATAATCTAATCAAATCACAATTTTTTTACTTCAGCTTTTGGGAATCTCGAGCTGAGTTGGCCCTAAAATATGAAAAGAACAATTCACAAAATTTTTTTTTTGGAATGATGCTTTACACTTTGGATATTTCAAAGTATTTAATCATACAGTTTGAAATATCAAAGGTTAACACCATCAGGTTACAAAATTAAATTATAGGGATACAGAAATAAATATTCAATGTTTCCAGATTTTTTTGTGTGTCTGTGTGGGGGACTTTTATTTGGATAAGATAATCCCGCCATTTTCTCTCAAGTTATGTAACGAAAAGTATTTTTATGATTTTAACATAAATAATCTACTTTCTAATTTTTTCATATCACTCAACTTGGAATTTTTAACCCAAGCTGAGAACATTCACGTGGTTTTATTGAGCTTCCCAATCAAAATTTGAGGCAAATCACACAAGAGACGCATGAGTAATGATCTGAAATACAAGCAAAGAAACAAACAATACCATGATGCCCATTGTTGATCCTGCCATCCATCTGATCCTGATTGTTCTTCAGCCCTATTAATAAAAACAATGTGTTATTTATTTAGGATACTCGAACAAACCTTAGCACATTTAGGTTAGATTTTTTGTAATCACACATAGCCAAAGGTCAGTTAAACATTATTAAGTTTAAAACATGCAAATTATTCATTATATTTTAAAATATACAAGCCTGGTATCCCTGAACTGTACATCATTTAGTTCACAGTAGGTCAGGTTAGTTTCCTCCTTCTAATAAATAAACTTTGCTTAATTATAGAAAAGACAAGAAATTAAATTTTCTAACAAATGTTGGTTTATAGAGAATATGAGAAAAACAGCCCTTTCCAACCTAACATTGCAAATTTTGGAAATCAAAAATGAATTGCCCAAAATGAAAACGACGCACTACTTTTATATGGAGGATATGTCACGTGTAAATACCTTACTAAAGAAGTTGGTTGGAATCTTTTTGCACCTAACAGTTATCAGACAAAGAACAGTTATCAGCAGCTAAAATAGAATAAGTTATTTGTCACTTCTATATATAAATTTGGCTTGTCTGGGTGTTTGTTTATTTGTTTATTGGTATCCAATAAACGTCAAAACGGCTGAACCGATCGGGCCCAAATTTTTTGTGGGACATCACGTGACCACAGGGAAGGTTTATGAATGATCAAAATTTCAAATATTTGTTTCCATCAAAATTCGATCTTCATTAAATTTTTGAAAATTTTAAAAATCCACGAAATTTGTTGTGAAAATCCGCGAATTATTTTTGTTTTGTTTTACGATGTACACAAAGAGAACATGTTCACAATTAATTTAGAAGATTGGCGCGAATCGCCTAAAAGGCTAGTATAACAAATTTCCTTATTCTAATCACTATTTACTATTAATAAAGAATGAGAAAATCAGCAAAGTTCAACTGCAGGGACAACAAGGTTTTTCATGTTCAAATGACAAATCCCGATTTTTTTATTGCAATTTTTATTAATCAGGGGTCATAATTTGAATAAATTATTATCATATCAAAGTAAATTAATGATGCAGGTTTATGCAGATTTACGTTGACCAGCAATAACCTACCGCTCCTGATATAACTGAAAGAATTATAACAATGAGCCAGGAAGGTCTCTCGGTTCCAGAATGAGGGTGTGATAACTTCTCAACAAACTAGGAAAAGGAATGAATACAAGGTAGTGTATAAGTTTTACAAAACCAGATCTGATAAAGATTCGAGATTACCAGTATTTTTGCAGGTCTAAAGTTCAGATGTCCTCATGTTGATTAATTTAAGTGCAAAATGATAGAACTGAGATACTGGGAAAAGGCACGTCACGATAAATTATAGATTGTCACTATTTGTCCGTGTCAATTTAATAACATAGAAAGTTTTAATTTCCTCTAAAATGTCAAAGATGCATGAACAACTGTTTTTTATTCAGATTTGATCGACTAATAGTATGAAGAGCTTTGCATACCTTATGTGATTTTTCTGCAGCTTCATCAAATGCAGCCTTGATTTTCTTGTTATACCCTGGCTCAGTGTCCATCATCTTTTCTCGTTCTAATAAATATTCTTGAATAATTTCAAACTGGTTTTTGGATAATTTTAAACAGTTTTATCAAGTATGTAAAAAAAAAAATTATGGTTAAGGTTTGACCAGTTTACCTAAATCCTGCTTCAGTTTGTGGATATCGATGTTCAAAGTTTCATGTTCTTCATTGTTTTGCAATCTCTCAAGGTTCTAAATAATTAGTTTCTATAAGATTTGAATCCGAAATTAGTAATTGGATAAGTACTTTATGATAAGCCTCGACATCAAAGTGAAGTGATTTAACTTTTCTTAAGTTACCTACAGAGTTGTTAAAACAAATTCAAAATATAAGGAAACGACTATTTGTGTAGTTTGTATACAGAGCGTCCCATATCATATTAGATTATCTCCAATCTTTAACACCAAAATAAACCCTTAATACTCGAAAAACTTATCATTTTCCGCATAAAAATGCTTATATAAGCCTTATGTTATTATTCAAAATGATTCCTTCTAATGAAATTTTCTAATTAGTCCCGAAAATCGTAATTTAGACCCGTTCTCGGTCTAATATGATGTGGGACACCCTGTATTACAGTTGCTGCCGCTGTATGTTCTAAGATATAGAAATCCTTTTACGGATTTTGCACACATTTAGTTCACGTTCCTCCTCCATCCCTTCTCTCTCCACATACCGATCCTTCGTCAGGATAAAACAGTTGAGATGTGAACAGCTCCGGCTCGGAAAACAACCTGGCTCCTTCATGAAGATACAGATACCTAGCCTAGCAACAGGCGATGCTTACATCCAGCCCAACAATGTCAGAGAGTTCCTAGTTTATCTGGCTTCCAGAGGCATCATATGAATTTAAGTATAGGTATTAATTAATCACTATTTAAAGTTTCATGGTTGAACTGTATTTTAATTGTAATCAATTTGCCTAGGTTTAAAGTTAAAGGGTACTGAAGTGTTATTGAAACTAAACTAAATCTAATCCGTTCTTCACTGCAAAACTAGTTGATATTGATAAAGCCAAACTTAATTCTAAAAGTAAAGTTTGAACTTCCATGTTTGGAGTTAGAGAGCAAGTATGGGTATCCGACTTTGCCTGGATCTAAAAAAGTTTCACATCACAACCCTGTCTTGTAACCCCGTTGTTATTTATAAAAAAAAATTATTAAAAGATTATTACTGATTTTATCCAAAGGGTTAATTGTACAGTTTAATCTTTGCATGCAGTTCGTAGGACATGTTTCTGCCAACCCCAAATTAAAATATCTAACAAAGTTGCAATACATAATTTATCGCACGCGCACCTAAATTTTTTTGATAAGCATAAGTGCCACAGATCCATTACACGCAAATAAGGTGGATAAGAGATAGAATTCAATTAGCTAGGAAAAGTATAGATCGAAGAAAAAATTTAAAGATTGATAAATAAGAAGCATACAGATGAAATTTGTTTAGAATGTAGTCCCAGATTTTTGGACAATTTATATCTAATTTGACAATTGTCACCTTCTGAATGAAACCCAATAATAAAAAACTCATTTTTCCGTGATACGAAATATTATGGATAAATAACTGTATTTAAATTTTACCTTTTCTCCGACAAGATTATGGATTCGCTGAAGTTTTCCTGATCTTAATCCTGTGGAAAATTCTTCCTCATCCTTTGAAATTTTAACATTTTGAGTTTCAAAACTTGCAACAAAATTACTTGAAAATTCTCACCATAATCATCTTCTCGTCAGTGGAAGTTCTAGAATAACATTTTCTTAAATCATGCACAACTGCATTTAAAGCTTTTTTTCTTACTTTTGGTTTCTGAATTTAGAGATTGGTTTCCTGTGGATTGCTTCATCTATCGACTCTACCTCCTCTTCTGAACTCCAATTCTAAAAATAAAATTAATTATCAGTTAATTTGATTACTCGATTACCATTGCTGGTTTAGCAATTGGAATCTCACACAACTACAATGCTTGTGCGAAATAAGATTCTCAAGTGTAAAAGTGGTGCCGCTGGCAAACATTTTTTAATCTATTCTTAAAAATCCAATCTCTCCTCTTGCGCTCCTAGTTTTTAAGCCGCCCCTGTTTCCATGTCAAACACAGTTTTGAAAATTCTGAATAAAAACATTTATTTGCTACGATTACCAGTTAAATGATGTTTTTTATAAAATAAATTCTTGTTTTCAGTGATTTATTTCGTAAGTTATCAAGAATTGTAAGGGTTTCTGCGAATAACACAATTGAACAGGCACGTCATTCATGATTAGGGTTTCCACGAAATGGCTAAATCTTTTGCGCAAAATTTGCGCTATTTTCGCGCAAATTTTTTTTGCGAACTTTTGCGCTATTTTTGCGCATGAAACGCAACGAGTTTTGCGCGGTTTGCGCTATTTTTTGCGCAATTTGCGCAAAACCGCAAGTTTTACGCAAAATGTAACTTTTTAGGCAAATTGTCAAAAATTTATATTCTAAGCTTAGAATTAAACAACTGAAGATTTATTCCATACATAAAAAAAATATTAACATACGAGTATGATAACGATTATACTACACTCAATTGGTTACTTCCAGTTACAAAAAGTTTAAATTAAGGGACCAAAATTAATAAAATAGAAATTAGAGAGTGTGAAACTTGGCAATATTTTAATCCTGTTAAATAATTTCAAGTGACCCAATTAAAAGCTTTGCATAATCAATTATGAATTATATTCTTAAATTTGTTAAATCAAATTTCTGAAATCTTTTCAATCTCATATAAAATAATGCAAGAAAGTAACCAATGCTTGAAGAATCCACTTTTAGGAAATATGCATGTCCAAAACTAAAATTGTCGAGAAAATTGTGAGATTTGAACTCTTCTTAACTGTCATTGGTCAATTATATAAAAGTGACCAATAGGAAGACATTCCAAAAGAAGATTTTTCCAGAATTGAATTCTAAGAAACACACACCGTCACCAACCGTTTGATTTTTACAAAATTGCGGAAACTCTAGCTGCGGAATTGCGCAAAACTTGAGTTTCGCAAAAGCGGAATAGGGCAATTTTGCGCGAAATGACTTTTGCGAATTATTGCGCAAATTGTTGTTTTTTTTTCGCGCAAAACTGATGCGGAAAGAAAGAAAAATTTTGCGTTTCGTTCCGCAAAAATTGCGCAAAAGTTTTGCGAATGGAAACCCTATTCATGATAAGTGAAAATTTTAGAGGGTACACTATTATTTCACATTTAAAAGAAAGAACACTATAGAACGCATTCTTAAAAATATTGGAATTATTTGTAAAGGAATTTTTTTAAAAGAACATTTAAAATCAGGATCACGTTCTTATTATCAAGAACGAGCTCTAAGTCGGGAACGGATTTTTAAATCAGGAACATGTTCAAAATCATCTAGAATTAATTTAAGATTTTTTTTATATAGACATGACCTGGCCCTCTAGATGATTTAGAACACATTCCTTATTTAAAATGCATTTAAGAATGTGTTCCTGACTTAGAACATGTTCTTGATAATAAGAACATGTTTCTGATTTTAAACGTTCTCTTTAGCTAATATCCGTTCTGATCATTACAAATATTTTTAGGAGCGCGTTCTTTTTACTTTACTTTTACTTTAAACACAACCTGATTAAGAAGCTCTAATTGTTCAATTCTGTTCTTTGAAGTTTTTAAAAATCCGTCTGCATTCTCTGAAAAAAACATGAAAACGTACTTTGAGCTGGATAGATCAGAAATTTTAACTTACCAATTACAGATTGAATGAACTTCTTCTCCTCCAAGTTAAATCTGTGATCTAATGAATCAATCTGATCTCTGAACAAAAATTGAAATAAGATCTGATCAAACATCAATAATGGATACCCCTCCCTGTGCAATAAAAGTTTATAATTTAGATTTAAATTTGAAATTTCCTATAATATAAAATTGTTCTGCTTAAACAATGTCGCCTTTGAACTTGCTGAAGACGACCATTGAAAGTGAGGAAGACGAAATATCCTCAAACTTTATAGGTACCTGGTACTGCAAAGTTATATAATAAGGTTGCTTGCTCTCGATGCACTTCAATATACAGAGAATGTAGTCTACTTACAGCATAGATAGATACAATTTTCTCGAAATAACGCTTTGTTTTTGCATTTTTGCTTGATTCATTTTAGCAAAAACGCGACAAGTTTGCAAAATAGAGACTAAAATTTTAGCATTTTTTGCGCACGTTTCGTTCGCTGGAAACCCTAGGCGAGAGTGACGTCATATGCGGATTCTTGCTATCTATGCTAAACAGAAGACGTTTTCCGTAAAATTAGAGTATGCGAGAGTAAGCAACCTTATTTATACAACCTTGGGGTAGTGTGAGCGAGTTTAATAACAATAGTTCTGTTGCTATTCTTGACAACAAATTCAATTTTAAGTTTTGTTGCAGAATCACCAATTTTTCAAAGACTGTTTTTATGTAGGACTGGGAAATCTTTTTTTTTAACAAACGGTAAGTTTTAAAAATCAACAAAACATTTCTTTAACGAACCGCAAAAAAACATTATTTTTGAAATTGACCAAAAAGAGGCTAATATAAAAATATCTTTATAATTCTTTGAACAAGAGTATTGGCATGACAGGAGGCGTTTAACTTACAAATTTCATACTGAGCTAGACTTGGAAAACTTGACCACATAGAAAATAACAATAATGTCAACAATTAATATGATTTAAACACCTCTGCTCAAGTATTGTGTACAAATGTTCAGTATGTTTTCCATTTGTCATCATTCCAATTTAAAAAAGACATTTGATCCTGAAGTCGTTTCATTAGTGGTCAACCAAGGTGCTAACTACAGGATGAAAAACTTATTATTCTTCTGTACAACCAGAGCTAGGAACTTTAGAATGGTGGATATGGGGATTAATGCTTCATCCACTCTTTTTCTTAATCTCAAGATTAATTAACCGATCGAGATTAAGGATATTATATTCTAAAGTTTTCAGCTCATGTGAGGGCCTCTATACAGAGGATAGAGAGGATAGTGAGAAAGAGTAACAGTATCTTCTTAAACACAAATATATTATAGTTCTCAAGGAAGTTGGTATAGCAGAATATATTAGATAAGCATGGAGACTATAGAATTGAAACTGAGAAACTCTAAATGACGGACAGGAAGGAAGAAAACTTTGGAGCATCCAGGAACATTCCAAGGAGTATTGAGGGAGATTCATTAACAGCTTCTTCAAAAGAATAGTCTTAATCATCATTTTGGAGCAGAACATAAACTCAAAAGAATAAGCGGAAGATGTTAAATTTAGTTCAAACATGCCAGTCAAGAAAGGAGAAAATTCTTCAAGGAGTACTGAAATCTCTCAACCATACCGTTGCTCCGAAGGTGGAACAAGGAATTCTTAAAATTAGAAATTTTAAGAATCAGGCACAATTCTTTTCAAAAGGAAGAAGTTAAGCAGTCTTAGGGTGGCTTTAATTCCAAACCTGGAAACTCATTCTGAGGTCAAAGCTTGAGGTGTTTGTATAAAATGCCTTCTTTTTGAGCGAAAATTTTATGTTTTTTTAAAAAGTAAATGGTATTGAAGGTTTTAAAAGCAGTTTTTGTACATTTTCTTTACACTTTTCAGATTATTAAATGCCTTTTTTTCGAAATTAGAAAATGTAAATACTTTCAAACTAGAGGTTTTTGCAGTATTGAGATTTGAAATTCCAAAATGAGAATATAAAATTTCAACTTTTATTTTCAAACTCTGGTATTGGCGGTAGTGAGATTTCAAAATCCAAAAT